ACTACGACTACGACTGCGACTACGATTACGACTACTACTACTACTACTACTACTACTACTACTACCACTACTACTACTACTACTACTACTACTACTGCTACTACTACTACTACTACTACTACTACTACTACTACTACTACTACTACTACTACTACTACTACTACTAACTACTACTACTATACTACTACTACTACTACTACTACTACTACTACTACTACTACTACTACTACTACTACTACTACTACTACTACTACTACTACTACTACTACTACTACTACTACTACTACTACTACTACTACTACTACTACTACTACCACTACTCATAAGTTTCGCGCCCCTCCCACCCCTCCTGGGATTCCCCGCCAAAGCGAGGAGGGTATCGCAATGCAATTTTATTTCAGCTTTCGCGCCCCTCTCACCCCTCCTGGGAGGCCCCGCCAGAGCAAGGAGGGCATCGCAATACCATCATAGTCCACAGGTTTCGCGCCCCTCCCACCCCTCCATGGGAGGCCCCGCCAGAGCGAGGAGGGTATCCCAGTACTTCAGTGTCTAACTACTGTTGCGCCCCGCTGCTCCAGCTCACCCTAAAACATCTTTATGCGGGGACTCCGATCAAGAAATTCCACGGAGAAGGCCCGAATCTGAGACTACGCTTATAAGTTGAGACCTTGCTGAAAAAGTATAATGCAACTCGGCTCAAAGTCCGTCCCCGGACACCTCCGGGGGTCCATCCGACGCAATTTTGCACCCAGGTCCGTTTGTGAGGGCCCCGGGGCCCGAAAACGGCCCCCGGGGACCGAAAGCGGCGAAAAACCGAAAACGATCGGAATGTATATAGGAGGGGGAAAAGGAGGAGGGGGATCACGGGCGAGCCCAGTGCTGACCCCGCGGAGGATTTGCAGGAGGAGGCGGGGGAGGAGGAAGGAAAAACGGGTGAAACTGCGCGCCCCTCGCTCGCCACGCGCGTCGTGGCCCCGTCGGTAGGACGAGGAGGATTGCCATATTTTCCAGCAGACAAGTGCACGCGCGGTGCGCAGTGGCAACGTGCGAGCGAAACTCGTCCCTCTCCCTGGCGGTCAGGGGGCGAGCGGGCCGGCGGTTCGCCGGCTGGCCGCGAGCGGCACGGTCTCGTCGGCGATTCCCTGCAGGGGCGGCCGCCTGAGACTTCCTCACAATTTAGCCAGGACCCCGCTCCCGCCCGAGACTTCCTCGCGTTTTATTCAGGAGTCGCGCTCTCGCTTGGGACTTCCTTAGAATTTATTCTCCCGGCGCTCTGCAGTCGCGCTCTCGCTGGAGATTCGCCTGCAATTTACTGCTGAATAGCGCCCTTGCGTTGGAACTTCTTGCAATTTACTCACGCGCCGCGCTCCCGACACCCAGGCACCCAGGAGTCGCGCTCACGCTTAGGACTCCCTGACAGATTAGTACTGTTGTTGAACTCTCACGACTGAAGAACAATTATTGTTGATCCCCCTCCTGTGACAATTGTGCTTCTTCAATTGAAGTGCTTCCCCAGGGATCGCATCCGGTTTTTCTTAGCAGGGAAAATCACGGGGTTCAAACTGAGCTCCTGGCCCCTTGGTTTACAGCAGCAGCAGCGGCTCCCGCTTGATACTTCCTCACAATTTAGACACCCTCGCTCGAGATCGAGGGATATGGCTACGGATGGAAGGACGTCCATTTCTTAATCCCTCGACGGGGAGGCTCTTTCTGATTCGCCGCGCCCCGGGATGTGCGACTCGTGGTTATCTTCGCGCCATCTATAGCTCTCGCGCCGCCCCCCGCGGCGATGGGCGGTTGCTCCGGCACGGGCCATCATGGCGCGCGAATGCAAATTATCTTCGCGCCCCCGGGGGTGGCCTAGCATGGCGGCTTTGTGTCGTGGAGCCCTTTGACGTCCCCCCTCGGCTCTGGGCTCGCCCGTGCTGACCCCTCATCCCCCCGTCCTCTCCTCTACCCATCTCGGCGCACCCCTCGCGCGGTTCGTGGACCGAACCTCCCTGCGAGCTGACAGTCTCAGCATCCACGTGCTTTCGGCATATCCCGCCACCACGCCCGGGTTGCGGGCATGAGGCTCGCGCGGCGTTCGCTGGGATCTCTTGGGTGGGGGGCTTCTCGGGGGCCTCTTGGAGGCAGTTTCGAAACCTCTTGGGGGCCGTTTTGGGGCCTCTTGGGATCTCCTGTGGGCCTCTCGGGGCCTCTGGGGTGCCTCTTGGGCGCCCCTTGGGGCATCTTGGGCCTCTCTTGGGGTATCCTGGGGCCGTCTTGGGGCGGAAGGCTCGGATTTTCGGTTCGGGCTCCCCCTCGTGGGCCCCTCTTGAGGCCGTCTTGGGGCCCTCTTGGGCCGTCCTGGGAGCTGGCGCGCTTACGCTGGCATCATCAGCAGCAGCACCCTAATCCGCACAGAGCCCCTGAATTGAAGGGTATAAGTTTAAATTATTGCGAGTGGAGATGACGGCGGTACTGATGATGGCGACGGTGGTGATGATGGTGGCGATGGACATCGCGATGATGGAGGTGGTGATGTTGTTTTTTGTCAAGCGCTGCTGCTGCTCCTGCGCCGCTTCTTGCGTGCACTACGTTGCCTGGCCTCCAAAAAAAGGCGGCGCTTGCCCCGATCGACGATTTTACCAGGCCGACGGATCGCTTTGGAAAACGCACGCAGGCCAAGCGGTTCGGCGGAGGAGAGAGCGCTCGCCGGGGGCCACGCTGCCAAATCAAATCCGTCTGTCCCGACCATCCTCTTCAGGAGTGGTGCTAGAACTGCCAACAACAGCGGTGGGGGATACGCGTTCCCCGTGCTGAACACTGCGAGCTTGGAATCGATCTGCAAAGCTGTGAAAGGCGGGAACCCTTGCAGAGCGAAGCGCTCTGGGCTGGTCAGTTTTCTAAACAATCGGCGGTTTTCATCGGGAGTGTCGCTGACAACGTCTTCGACCGACAGGACCGCGAAATAAAAGGAACGGCAGGTCAACGTCGGGGAAACATCGACCGAGAGCGTGGTATTGAAGCCCATCCCTTCTGCCCGGTCAAAGGACACCACTGCCGTCGAGTTGCGGGGCGCGCGGCCCTCCTCGACCAGGCTGCGAATGCGATTCTCGTAAGCCTTCAGATTTCGTTGTTGCGCCTCCGTCAGGGACGCGCGTGACATGCATGGCAAGCCGGAAGCTAGTGCTTCTGCTAGAAGGCGGGTGCCGAATGGCATCAATGGCCGAGGAACGTCTCCGAGGTTTCTCCTTAGCCCCACCAGAAACACCCTCACGCGGTTCTGAGGGCATAGATAGTCCACCAACTTCAATGTCTCAACGCGCCACGTGAACTCAGGCACGTGCTGCTCCAAGAGCCTGACATACTGATCTATCGGCGCCTCCCGGCCGTCCGCCAGAACAGTTTTAATCCCAGGCACGTTCTCCACGATGGCGCATAGAAGCCCACAGCAGTGCACCATGTAGAAAACCCAATCGAGGATCCGATGGAATACCTGTGCGCGCATGTCCTCCTTGCCCATGTGCTTTCCTTGGGCTGACCAAGGTGGGCACGGGGGCCCAACCGCCAGAACGTCCACCGGTCGCTCTAAGGAGCGCAAATCGACCTGCGTGACGTCACCCACAGGACGGCCAAGATGTAGTCTTATGTCCGACGGGTCCATGCCGGTGCTGGCCAGATGGTTGCAAAGGTACGTATAGTATTTGTCTTCCACGTCGAAAACATTTATAGAGTCTGCCCCAACATTCAAAAATTGCAAAGCGTGAGAACAACCTAAGAGGCCAGCGCACGGGGACGCAACTCGCAAACGCCTTGGGAGAGATATTTCCCCAGCGAATTGAGAGAAATCCGGCAGGTCAGGTGTTCTTCCAACTTCCGCGGTGAGATCCATACCGCGGCCTTCGTCGGACACTTGAGCCCAAAAAACCGCGAACGGTGCATTGAGCCAGCGAAGATGGGCGATAGACGAGCGATAGACGAGCGATAGACGAGCGATAGACAAGCGATAGACGAGCGATAGACGACCGCCTTGTCCTATCGCTCGTCTATCGCTCGTCTATCGCTCGTTTATCGCTCGTCTATCGCTCATCTATCGCTCGTCTACGGGCATTCCTTGTGGCATCCAGGGCCCCCCTGGAGGGTTTCCCCGAAGGGCTAGGGGACCCCTCCTCCTCGACTTATTCGTGGATTTTTCGTGGAGGTTCGAGGTTCGAGGTTCGAGGGGGTCTCTCGTCGTTTTCGGCCCCTGGGGCCCGTTTTCGGGCCCCTGGGCCACCAGAAACGAACCCAGGATGAAAAACTGACCCTGGGGAAGCTCCTCGGGTCCGCTACGGCCCCGGGGGAAACCGCCCAGGCCCCCCTCGTGGTCGCGGCTGGATCCGCCTCGAAATTCTTGGCCGAAAGTGGCCCGGTCGTCCCCCGAAGGTGGGATGGGGCATCGAGGACGGAGGGCATGGGCTCGCATTTATCTGGGTGCGAATGTTTTGGGGGAGGCGCGTGGGGAGGAAATGCGAGGAGGAATAGGGGGGGGGGAAGGCGCAGGATAATCTAATAAATTCGCATTTTCTTGCCGCGGCGAGCCGAAGACAAGTGCGACGACGGCGTTTAAATGCAGGAGGGATGGGGTTAGGTTGAGAGAGGATGATGAGGATTTTGCTTCGCTCCTGGCAACGCTGCTAAAACGCGAGCCCGCAGGTGGACAGCGTGCCCGTGGTGTCGAGCGACCGAAGGGAGGAGCCTAGGGGAAGATATTTGTAAGTAGGGATCACAGCTAAGCGCCCATCTCATCTTCATCATCCATCAAGGCGTCGAGTTTGCCGCAAATCGCCTTGCTCTTCTTGAGCGCCTCAGCCACGTGTTCGAGGAGGTCCTTGATGTCCTGCTTGGGGCCGCGCGTGGCTGCAATGAAATCTTTGAGCTTCTGGACGTCCGCCTCCGAGTCCGCGAGAAGCTTATCGGCGGCCTCCATAGTCTTCTTCGGGATGCTGTCCGCGTTCTCTGGAGCCCGCGCCATCACGAGCTTCGTCGTGAGAGTCAGAACGGAGCTTTCCATTTTCTGCAGCCCCGACTCCAAGCGCTTGAAGACGGCGGGAGTAACCTGCGGGTGTGCCGGCTCGCTGCCTCCCTCGCCAGTCGGTTCGCCACCGCCCTCGCCGTTCTCGGTCGCCTTCTTTTTGTTGCCGGGCCCCTTCCTCTGTTGCTTGATTTTCACATCCGTCTCGCAAGAGATCTTGCGCTTGGACTCCTTGCCGGTGGCCTCCTCCTTGCTCAGCTTCAAGAAGTGCGTTGGAACCCATACTTGTTCTTTGTTCCTGTGCTCGCAGTGGTTCTTGATCCCGTGCTCGAGGATGTGGGCCTTCGCGGCAGGGTCGTTCTTGAACTTCTCGTGGTCGTCCAACTTGTCGACGTCGACCATCTCGCCTTCAGAAGAGAAGTTGCGAAGGGCCCTCTGCGTTTTGTACTCCGTCACCGTCTCTTCGATGACTTTCGAAAGCTGGTCGTTGAACAAGCCCTTCGCGTCCGCGATGAGCTTGCTGCGCTGGTCGGGCGTCATTTTCTCGAATCCGTCGCCGAACTCCTCGTTGGATTTGCAGAGCGTGAGGACGCGGCCCCGCGCGTTGTGGCAGTCCGAGCACCTGTACTGGGGTTTCACAGCCGGCTTGGTAGGGTCGTATTTCTTTAAGGTTTGGAACTTGTCCGTCTCGGGAATGGCCTCCTTGCACGTCTGGCATTTCTTCACGATCTGCTCGGCGGGCTGGGCTGCAGACGACTCGTCGTTGAGTGCAACCTCCGGGGAAGGGGCCTGCTCGGCGGCGGCGGCGGACGCAGCCCCCTCCGGCCTGGCGGGGGCGCCCTCCTCGGCGAGACCTGCAACGGCGGCGGGGCGCTTCAGCGTCGCCATCGCGACTGCGGAGCGGTATGCGGGCGGCTTCTTTCTGTGCGTATGGCAATCTCCCCCTCTCTCCCTCGCACAACCTTGAACGCCCAAATGGCCGTGGATGAAGAGGGCGAGCGGGAGAGCAGGAGGGGGAGGACGAGGATCAATATTGGGGCGGGGAGGTTGATGGGGGAGGGGGGCGGAGCGAGAAAATCCCTCGGATGACTTCATGGGTGTTTGGGAGGCCTTCCGCGCCGGGCTCGCCCGCGCCGGTCTCTCGCCAGGCTCGCTCGCGCGCGGCCCCATGGGGAGGGGAGTGCAGGAGGTGGAGGAGGCGGAAGAGTGCCGTCTTGGCGCTCTCTCGACCCTCGGCCGTCGATCCACCTCCCTCGGAGGTCCGCCCCCTCGACCTGTGTTGCGCGGATTTCGAAGCGGGCCCAGCCGCGGCGACGAGGACGCCACGAGATGTCGAAAATATCGGCCCTCGAACCTTGATTCTCGACCCTCGCGGAGGTTCTTTAAGTCTCCCATGGGGGCTCATTGAGCCCCTTTCTTGGGGCTCCGTGGGCCCCCTCTTGGGGCCTCCATTTGATTGCGCAAGGCCGACCCGAGGCCCCCAAGGGGGCTCCAAGAGGCCCCCGAGAGGGCTCAGGAGTACGTTATAAAACAAGCTGTTTTTATAAGCTGTCCTGGGGCCCTCTTGGGCCCGTCTTGGGGCGCCTCTGGGCCCCTCCGAGGGCCCTGGGAAGGGTCCAAGAGGGCCCCTAGAGGGCTCCCAGAGGCCCCCAGAGGGGGCTCCAAGAGGAACCGAAGAGGGCCCAGGAGTACGTTATAAAACAAGCTGTTTTTATAAGCTGTCCTGGGGCTCACTTGGGCCCGTTTTGGGGCGCCTCTGGGCCCCTCCGAGGGCCCTGGGAAGGGTCCAAGAGGGCCCCTAGAGGGCTCCCAGAGGCCCCCAGAGGGGGCTCCAAGAGGAACCGAAGAGGGCCCAGGAGTACGTTGTAAAACAAGCTGTTTTTATAAGCTGTCCTGGGGCCCCTCCTGGGGTCCATCCGAAGCAGTTTTTCACCCCGGATCGATTTCCGACGCCCCCGGGGCCCGAAAGCGGCTTCCCGAGGCCGAAAACGCAAAAAAAAAAAATCCCAGGAACCTCGTGGCCGAAAAATGCACACGTCCGAACGAATGGTTTGGGAATCAGCCCGGGCGAGCCGAAAGCCGACGCCCCGAGGGGCAGGAGGGGGGAGTGAAGATAAGGGGAAAAGACTTTTTTTACGCGCCTACAGCCCCCGGGAGAAATCCTGCAAGTGGAGCGGCGCGGCCACGTCTACGACTGGCTGTGGGCCAGCGCCCTGGACCCAGCGCGCGAGCTGCGTCCCGAAATCGAGCGCTCGAGGCGCGCCCCGCGGGTCAGATGCGCCGCCGGCGCTGGCACCCAACGGGACCTCCGCGACGCCGGCGCCAAGGCGCGCGCGAAACCACGCCTGAGGGAAGGAGGGGGCGGAAGAGGAAGGCGACGAGGAATAGGAGGAGGTGGAGCAGGAACAGGCTTCGACGCCTCGTCGACCTCCGGCTCGGCCCCGGCCTCTCGGGGCGGACGAAAGGGGGGGGGTAGCAAAGGGGGGGTTAGCGAATCAGCTCACGTAGCTGATTTTCCCGGCGCCTCCCGGCGCCGGAGGCGCCCACGTATCGAGGAATGGGCCCCTCGGCGGGGCCGAAACCAGCTGCATGCAGCAGATTTCGTAACCCCCCTTTCCCAATCCCTCCCTTTCGCCCGACCCGGGCCTCGGCGGGCGGCTGCTCCATGCGCTCCCATCGCGTGTCCGCGAGCGAGGAAGCGTACTCCATCCTGGTTGGAGCCGGCTGGGGGGCTGAGGTGGCCCAGCACTGGTTCGGGGAGGTTTTTCGCCCGTTTCGGCCCCCGGGGCCCGTTTTCGGCCCCCGGGGCCGTCAAAAACAGATCCGGGGTGAAAAGCTGCGTCGGATGGACCCCGGGAGAGGTCCGGGGGCCGATTTTGAGCGGATTTCGCCTTGATCCCCCCCTCTGTGCCGATTTTCGGGGTTCCCAACCAGTTCAGACCCCCCGGCCGCCTCCAACATCCTGGCGGGATCCTCCTCCTCCCCCCCCTCCTCCTCCCTCCTCCACCCCCCTCTTCCTCAGGCGAGAAATAGGCAACATAAAAACACAATATGTTGCGCATATGAACTGCATATGACACCCGCCCTAATTTTTGCAAGGCGGCCACAGAGGCCCGAAGAAGCCTCCGATGATCCCCTGGAGGCGGGCCCGAACGGCTCACGCTCGCGCCAGGAGAGGGCATTTTGGCATTCCTGCCGATGAAGCCGAAGGGCGTGTCGGGAATGCCAGGAGAGGGGGGAGGGAGGAGGAGGGAGTGGGTGACGGAGGAGGGGGCGGGGTTACATTTTTGTTTGGAGGGAGGAGATGGGAGCGCACAGGATGAATCAACTAGGATGCAAAATCCAAGCAGGACAACGAAACCACGAATAACTGCTCGAATTTCCGCCCCGGCAGCTATCCTACTTAGTGGGATAGAGCATCTTCCTAACAGCCAATCGGCGTGCACGGGATGAGGCAAACAGCGCGCGCTACAAAGCGCCGCTGTTTTTAAAGCCCAATCGCAAGGGTGGGGTCGCATTTATGCGGGCGCGAATGCGCATTTCTCGCCCGAGGAGGATGAGGAGGAGGAGGAGGAGGACGACGACGACGAGGAGGAAGGAGGATGAGGAGCACGGGGGGGTGGTTCGGATCGGACCGGATGCTCGCGGAATCCACAGTGCCCGTCATCGAGAAATTACAGCGCAAGCACACGGGAACCTGCAACTACTGCTAATCACGAGCTGGGTTGAGGACTCTTACGTTTCCCGCGGACCACGGGGATGAGGAGGAGGACAGGCGATAATCCAGAACCCCGCGGCAATTTTCGGTGTCGGGCGATCCACGACGCCCACTCGTCGTACTGATCGGCCTTCACGAGCTCATCGAGGGCCTCTGCAGCGGCCGTCCGCTCGATGATCTCGAGCGACAGCCTGAGCCCGTCCCGCAATCGGTCCGCGGGGCCCTCGACGATCAGCTTCCTGACCGAGTCCCGGTCGCGCTTCCGAACCGGAGAGGGGGGCAAGGACGAGAGGAGGGGCAGGGGAGGGGCGCGGCGCCCGCCGGAGGCAGGGTATTATTTTTTTCGACCAGAGACGGCCCCAAGGGGGCCTCCCCGAAGCGTCAAGAATTAAGCGATGGATCAACAAAAAACTGAGCGACGGATCCCTGCGCGGACGCGTTTTCTTTTTTTTTGTTTTTGTTCGGAGGGTGCGGGGGGGGGGGGGGGGCCGGAAACAGGCCGCGGGCCCTGCGCTAGCCCACGCTCTCCCCCGGGCAGGGATTGAGGATTGAGGGCCCCGGGGGCGCGTCCGACCCGAACGCGCCTCAGGCGAAAAATACTTACCCTGGGGGGGGCCGCCGACCCCGACCTCCGACGTCTCGACAAAATCGAGACGAACGTTTTTAGCTGTTTGCGGCCGCCGGGGGCCCTCGACGGGCCCCAGGACCGTCAAAACAACACCTCGGAACGAAACGTCAGCCCTGGAGGAGTCGTCGGGACGTCCGTGGACCGCGTCTCGGAAAAAAAACAAATCGATACATCGGAGGTCAGGGGAGGGGGGATTTTTAAACCTGAGCCAACGAGGAGGAGGAGAAGGAAGAGGAGGAGGAGGAGGATGGGGGCCGTCGGCCAGCACCCCGTCTCGTGCCAGATCGCGTCCTGGTCGGCCTTGCACAGAGTGCCGGCGCGCACCGCGACGGGGCCCAGGCGGCACGTCGCCGCCATCCCCGCTGCACTGCTCGGGCCAGGCGGGGGAGGAGGCGGGGGCGGGGGAGGAGGCGGAGGAGGACCTTCCCCAGGGGTATAGTTTTTTCCCCACATCCTGAGTGGGGTTCTTGTTTTCCTAGGACACCATCTCCTTCTCCTCCTCCTCCTCCTCCTCCTCCTGCCTCCTCCCGCTCCTTCCACTACAATTACCTCGGTCACCGCCACCACCACCACCACCACCACCACCACCACCACCACTACTACTACTACTACTACTACTACTACGAGTACTACTACTACTACTACTACTACTACTACTACTACTACTACTACTACTACTACTACTACTACTACTACTACTACTACTACTACTACTACTACTACTACTACTACTACGACTACTACTACTACTACTACTACTACTACTACTACTACTACTACTACTACTACTACTACTACTACTACTACTACTACTACTACTAACTACTACTACTACTACTACTACTACTACTACTACTACTACTACTACTACTACTACTACTACTACTACTACTACTACTACTACCACTACCACCAGTACTACGACTACTCTACTACTACTACTACTACTACTACTACTACTACTACTACTACTACTACTACCACTACCACTACCACTACCACTACCACTGAAACTACCACTACCACTACCGCTACAACTACCACTACCACTACCATCACCACCACCACCACTACCACACCTACTACTACCACACACTACACACTACCTACTACTACACTACCACTACTACTACTACTCCTACTACTACTACTACTACTACTACCACTACTAACTACTACTACTACCACTACCACTACTACTACTACTACTACTACTACTACTACTACTACTACTACTACTACTACTACTACTACTACTACTACTACTACTACACTACTACTACTACTACTACTACTACTACTACTACTACTACTACTACTACTACTGCTACTACTACTACTACTACTACTACTACTACTACTACTACTACTACTACTACTACTACTACTACTACTACTACTACTACTACTACTGCTGCTGCTACTGCTGCTGACTACTACTACTACTACTACTTCTTCTACTACTACTACTACTACTACTACTACTACTACGACTACTACTACTACTAACCACCACCACCAACCACCCCACCACCACCACCACCACTACTACTACTACTACTACTACTACTACTACTACTACTACTACTACTACTACTACTACTACTACTACTACTACTACTACTACTACTACTACTACTACTACTACTACTACTACTACTACTACTACTACTACTACTACTACTACTACTACTACTACTACTACTACTACTACTACTACTACTACTACTACTACTACTACTACTACTACTACTACTACTACCATTACGCCTCCCACCCCTCATGGGAAGCCCCGCCAGAGCGAGGAGGATATCGCAATACCATATTATTTCAGGTTTCGTGCCCCTCCCACCCCTCCTGGGGGGCCCCGTCAGAGCGAGGAGGGTATCGCAATGCCATGTTATTTCACAGGTTTCGCGCCCTTCCCATCCCCCCTGGGAAGCCCCGCCAGGGCGAGGAGGGTATCACAATACCGAATTATTTCACAGGTTTCGTGCCCCTCCCACCCCTCCTGGGAGGCCCCGCCAGAACGAGACGGGTATCGCAATACCATATATTATTTCACAGATTTCGTGCCCCTCCCACCCCTCCTGGCATCGCAATACCATATTATTTCAAAAAGTTTCGTGCCCCTCCCACCCCTCCTGGGAGGCCCCGCCAAAGCGAGGAGGGTATCGCAATACCCGAATGTTTCGCTAGTTTCGTGCCCCTCCCACCCCTCCTGAAGGGCCCCGCCAGAGCGAGGAGGGTATCGCAATACCATATTTCACAATATTCGCGCCCCTCCCACCCCTTCTGGGGGGCCCCGCCAGGGCGAGGAGGGTATCGCAATACCGCATTATTTCACCGGTTTCGCGCCCCTCGCACCCTTCCTGGGAGGCCCCGCCAGAGCGAGGTATATCGCAATACCATAAAATTTCACAAGTTTCGCGCCCCTCGCACCCCTCCTGGGACGCCCCGCCAGAGCGAGGGGGTATCACAATGCCAAATTATTTCACAGGTTTCGCGCCCCTCCCACCCCTCCTGGGAGGCCCCGCCAGAACGAGGAGGGCATCGCAATACCTTACTATTTCACAAGATTCGCGCCCCTCCCACCCCTCCTGGGAAGCCCCGCCAGTCTCTATGTGGGGAACTCCGATAGAGTACTTGTCATCATGGGTTCGTTTGCGACGGCCCCGGGGCCCGAAAACTGACCCCTGAAGCCGAAATCGGGGAGGCGACGGAGGGCCGGGGAGGAGAAGAGGGGGTCGGCACGGGCGAGCCCAGAGCCGAGGGGCAGGAGGAGGGGGGGGGGAGGGGGGGAGAGGGGGTAGAGCCGAGGGGCAGGAGGAGGGGAGGAGGGACAGCACGGGCGAGCCCAGAGCTGCAGGGGAGGAGGGCTCGTTTTTCCAAGCAAAACTCTGTTCAATGAAGCTCAGCGAGCCCTTCAAGCAAGGACAGCGGGCGGATGCTGTCTTCAAAAACGAGGTGCGGAGGCATTGACAGCAAATCCCCCGCTGGAAAGATTACACACTGATCCACACCTCGTGCCCACAGCTGCGGCCCCTGGTACGAATGCGGGCGCGCGCAGATAAACCACTGAACGCCTCTAGAGAGCAAAAACGTTCTGGCCGAAAATAACACCTCGCCAAGAAAAACGCGCGCGCCGTACCGGAAGTAGCAGACAACCCCTGCCACAACATCACCTCTCGGCGTCGTCAAGTGTTTTGAAACTGAAACGTCGTTCACCCTGTGTCCGCACACGGTGGACACAGCATCCCTTAAGAGTGCGTCGTCGCATTCCCTCATGGCCGTGGGTGAAGAATATTCCTGGAAGGGGCCGGCGTCATAAAGGGCAAGTTGTGCAGCCAAATACCGATGAAGCACCTTCAAATCAAAAGCTTCTCCCTGGCACATCCTTGCAATGGTTTTAACCAATTTGTGCTTGCGTTCGGCGCCCATGCAATTTATCTGCACACCGAACTTCTCGATGCAATCGAACACGTGGTACATATAGTGAAGCTTTGGCTTCGCGGTGTCGTGGGCGAACAACTGAAGGTGGAGCCGGTGGTATTCCTCCCACAACGCACGCAGCTCTGCAAGGCGATGAACCGCCAACTGCCCCGAATTAAGGATCCTTATAACTCTGCAGTGGACGAGCACGCAACGACCGAGATCTGGAAGGGACCCCGAAGGACTCAGTATTGTCTCCACGTACAACTCCAGGGCCTGCAGAACTGCCAAAGTCTCGCCTGAAAAAGCTTTGATCGGCTTGTTCCAATCATCCGAAGTCCTGTCCTGGAAGAAAGAGCGCGGAAGTCTCGTATGGCCCGGGGGCCATGTGATGCCCATAGCAAATGCATCCAACGTGCGCGCGTCGACGCCCTCTGCCTTCAAATACAAACAGCAACTATTGATCATGTATTGAGAAACCCCTCCTGCTGCTATCCCACAATGCATCCAGTCCCAATACAAATGCTGCACTGGATTTGCAACATCGCGGAGAGCATGGTCGGCGGGCAGGGACTGCGGGTCGAAATTTATCCCATAAGCCTTCTGGAGGTCTCCCAGTTGTGTTTTTGACACATCTTTCGCAAGACTCTGCACCACATCAAACTGCAAGAACAAATTGTGTGGCGTTTGTTTCACAAATTCGGAAGGGAACGCGTATCTATAGTGTTTCACGTGCGAGTGTGGTGGGATGCGCGTGGTGCCTGTTGTTTTGATGATGTTGGCACAGTGACAACAGCAGTTGAAACCTCCTGCCCCTTTGCTAGAAAACACAAGCTTGTGAGCTTTAGCATCTTCCACCAGAAAAGCTAGCTTGGCACGAAACAAGAAACGCCCAGACGGGCATGGCAGCAGCATTCCGTTCTCGAAGCAATGGTGGTCATTCCGAAACATTCGCTTCAACACGTGGCGCATGATCCCCGATAGACTACCTTTGATTTTCATTTGGTCGGAGGTCTTCAAAACGCCAAAACAATTCCACCCAGTCTCTTTCGTACGAACCCAACTAGGCAATTCGAGCACCTGCCAATAAATGCATTGAGTTTCTGTGGGCGTCCCAGGATGCAAAGGGTTACCTGGGGTCGTTTCGTCCGTATACAGGGCTATGGTG